TTGGCTTACTGAAATAAAATGGAGCACTAGCAGATGCACGACAGAGATAATCAATCACACAGTGGCTTATGCAATAAGTGTTTTCCACTTCCAGACTCCAGGAATTTCTAGGCAGAGAAAGAACAAAGGTGGCACTGACATGTTTTAATTCATGTCAAATCTCTCTCTTTCCCTTGAGTTATATGGAAACTATTCAATTCCTATTTCCTGCTTTCTTGATCGTTTTAGATAGAATAGCTCTACCCAGCTAAAGAGAATTTAGGCTGGGGAATTTCATCCTCTTGCTGAAGTGTTTCAAAGGTCCCGTTCCCTGTTGTGGAAAAGAGATGATAGCATTTGTTGTTACTAATTTCTTTACTGCACTGGGTGCAAAGCCAGCTTCCACACTGCTGTCAACTCATGTAAAATATAACATGCATTTCCCAAGAACAAGGACTCTTAGTGACTAGGGAGAATCATGACTGACCATTTTTCCATTTCAGGTTGCTCTTTGAAAATCTTTAAATATCACTAGCCAAGCAGTGTTTTACCCTGAATTTTGACAACTTTTTTTTGTTTCTTTGCTTGGAGACGGGGCATGGAGGGCCTAAGTGCAAACAGAGACAGATAATTTGCATTCAGAACAGAAGTCAAGAATAGTGGAGGTATATTACTTGTCTTCTACGTTGTCCTAGACAATAAAACAGAAATTCATAAAATTAATCAGGAAGTCAAAAAGGACTGGGTATCCAATTATGACTTGTTCACAGCTTGAAATTAAGGGAATTGAATAGACCATCTGTTGCCTAGATCATTCTCCTATATAATAAATCATGGGAAATTCAGCAGATTGCCTCAGAAATAGTTCCAGTTTTCTATCAGTGTTAGGATATCAATGTGGCAGATGCATTTCACAAGCCCTAAATCATATTCATGTTCTGGCAGCAAAGCCAAATATTCACTGACAAAATTTATGCACAAATGGCTGCAAAGGATGCCTTTGGCAAGTTGATTGTAACTAATCTCTATGGCATATTTGAGTGTAATTTTACTTTAGGAACATGTTTTTCCTTTAAATGTACTATTCATGAAGTTCTCTGCTTTTAAAGATTTGAAGAAAATTCTAAATATTCATCAACCTTGGCAGCTGACCATGAATATTTTTTTTTCTCCTAGTGAAAGAGTAAAGTCAATAAATTAATTACTTTATGACTTGCATAAACAGCTATTTTTAAATCAGTGGAACTGTTGCATACTAGGCTGGCAGGACTTGCCTTATTTCACACCTAAGAACCTGATGAGCTTTTTTTTTTTGAGGTAATGCCAAATAGCACTTTGTTATGATCATTGCTTGTATCTATTTTATTTAAAAATACCTGTTTCTCTAATAAAGTTATTCAAGATTTCAGTACATTGTCAGAAAAAGCCAAATTCCATCTGCATAGAGAGAGTCCCACATGCAGTCCACTTTGCTGTATTCATGTCTTCACTCAATTACAATCCATCATTCTAAGTCTTTGCATTTTTTTTAGGCTGATATTTCTTATTTGCTCTTGGCAAATAAGTTCACCTTTAGTTCACCTTCAATTTTAACATGAATATGAAGTACTATCTAAAAAAAGCTGGAGATTTGAATCTCAATGCAAAAATAAACATAACTCTTTTAGGGGGTACAACATGCTTGCAAAATTCTAGTCCTCTGGTATTTGCCTCCCTTTCAAGGACTAAAAAGGGGCTGAAAGCAGAGCTACTTCTTCTCTCATACCAGAAATACTATAAAAAGTGCATCGGGTGATTGTCAGCTATGTCCTGCCTAACAACTGGAAGAGACAAACAGCCATAAAAATATAAACAAGTTCTCCAGGAAGAGACAGTTCAAGAGGCAGAACCTATTTTTCTCATTAAGCATAGACCTTGTCCAGAATTAATATAAAAAGCATAACCTTGACCAAACCCCATAAATATGAAGCCCTTCTGCCCATTGGCAAGTCTTAACTTTTCCATAACTCTTTGAATATGAAGGATGTTTGTTTAGCTGTCTAGTTGGCCTTTATTTCCATGGTAACTCCAGCATCATTGGTTCCAGCTGGACAGGGCATATGTCTGTCTCATTGGAGGAGCTGCAGTATTTTGGTGGTGTCATGAAATGAATTTTCTATATCCATAAGTTCCTAAGCCTTCAGAAATCAATTAATTCCAAGGGTGTACTTGGTATTGTCCAAAACACAGGCAGAAAGTTTCTGATGACATCACTGATGACACTGAGGGCAGGAATACAGCACATTTGTGAGTTCATTTGACAGCTGTCATCTTGCCAGAGGCTCATTTTCTGCCACTAAACCAGTAAGTCTGCATTGGGCATGTAATTTGACAATGATAAAGATTAGAGAAAAGAACGGATAGGAAGGCAAATAGTAGAATGATTAAAGTAGTAGTTGGATTGGTGTAACTATCCCACTCCAGATTTTAAGAGCTGCAGGTTTGCATCTCAGGATATTAGGAAAGAATTGTAGGGAAAAGAAACAAAGAGGGAATAAATGAGGAGGTAGAGAAATAAAATCAAACACTGAACCTTGGCCTTATCTGACGTACTAGAAGATTATGATAACTAAGTTATGAAATTCAGTCAGAATTGAATGAGTACTCCATTAGTATAAACACAATAGTATGGAAAAGAAAACCGCTTAAACAAAACCATTATTAAAATGATTACTATAGTAGTTGAGCTGTACTAGTCAGCATATAGCTTTCCACAGTTACACATTCACCACTAAAAATGATCAAAAGCCCCTAACACCTTGTGTTGTGGTAAGTTCAAATTTTTGTCTTGCATCTTAACACTTTTTTAGGGTCTCCCAAGTTTAGTAGCCTGTAAATATACAGGTCTGGGATCATAAAGAGGAATATGCTGCACAGATATTTTTTTAGTATCTTCTTTGGGTGGTCCAACACAGTTTCATTTATATTTATTGAGGACAGTTCATTGCTGAAGGTCAAACCAAGTCCCTTGTGTCCTTTGTCATCACTCAGAGGTCAGTTGAAATGTGGGATCAGGATGTGAATCTAATTGAAATATTCATCTAAATTTCACTAGTTGGTATTGATGTATTTTCAAAACCCTCATTATTTAACAGGACGAGTTGGGTTTTTAAAAATATTTGTTATAGACTTTTGAATACTTCTAGAGCTATTCCTTTAAATCTTGCAAAAATAACATCTCAGGGATAACATAACTATGTGAGAATTTCATGCCAGATAAGAACTGTTTTGAAAACTTACCAAGTATATAAACAGAAATATATAATGAAGACCCTGTAACCAACATGCATGAGATTGATGTCCTCCATGGATGAGCTACTTAAAGCTTATTTTTGTGCACTTAGCCTCCGCAACCTGGACCGCAGAATCCAGACTGCAGTTCCTGCTGCCGAGGTGACTTTGGAGTTCGACTCTACCAAGGGCCCCCAGGACCTCCTGGGCCCCCTGGGATGCCAGGTAAAGATGAAGTTTAATTCACTTTTTTTTAGCAGTCTAATTGCAAGATATAAATTGCAGTTTATTCTATGAAATATCAGAGAGTGGTCCAAACATCAGTATTCAGGAATCAGACACATTCAGGAAAAAGTTTTTCTATAATTTCAGAGGAGATATTTTCAGTTATATTCTAAGGTATATTAAATAGAAAACCTATTTGTCATTAAAATTCAGCTTTCACAAATTCATACTGAAAGCAATCTTATTACACCTCTAGGAAAAACTGGTCTCTCTTCAAACAGCATGAAATTCCCAATAAACTTGGAAGAACTTGTTCCCTGGAGCTGATTATTGTGACCACCTTTGTATATCCAGCTGTGTTACTGTGTACTGTATTCAAAGGCTTTTCTTCATCTAGCATACTGATAGCCAACATTTTACAGAAACACAATGCTTCTGTTGTCTCACAGAAATTCATTCACTTTCTTCTTGCATCTTGTCTTTTATAATAAAAAAAACCTACTTTTTTAACATAAAAAATGTCCAAAGAAGACTTTGATCTGGAAATTGATATGGAAATAGAAGAGCCTAGAGAATGTTGCTTGCATGCAGGTGTCAGTTTGTTACATCAGCTACCTTCAGGTAATGCAGGAATAGAAATTTAGAATGGAAATCACATGGAAATCACCATTCCTAAACAGAGGTACAACATAAATGAACGTGTCACTGAAAGAGAGACTTGTATCTTCTTCAAAAACTTATATCTTCTGTTATCACAAAAAAAATGCAATTCAGTGATCCATTACTTACAAATAAATTGTTGGATTCTTAGAAGCAGGATACAATTTTATATTAGAACCACATTTTCAAGGCTGCAATGGACATACTGGGGCATGGCCTAGTCCCAGCTTTGCCCTTCCCTCCTCTCTCAGTCCCACTCTCTGTCACTGCAGGATACCACAAATGTACATCCAGCAGCAGTCTCCTGCACCCTAGGATTTTTCTGGATTTCATGTTGTGCCTGCAAGGGGAACAGCAGTAGTCGCTTTTCCCCTTGATTGAATCAAATGTTGCTTGCAGACTTCTGTTCTGAACTGGTAGAGCAGTTCTGGCTTCACATAAAGGATCATTCTTGTAATTTTTAAGAGCTGCAGATTCCTCTATCCAAACAAAAATGTTCATAATTTCTTTCACCATTTGGCTTCCTTGTTTGAAGGGTTTTTTTTCTTAACAGGAAAACTCTGAAGGATCACATCATCATCAGATTTGATCTCAAACAACACCATTCTTGTAAATTTGTGACCAGAGAGAATAATCAAAAAACAAGCAGGATGGCAAAGAGCCTAATTTCAACTCTGGTTTAATTAGAACAATGATGACATTAATTAATCCCCTGAGCTGAAAGATCAGGCTTTTGCTGCAGGAGGCATAATAATTGTTCAGTTATTCTAGCCAACTCTAAAATCCTGTCAGCTGCATAGACATTTGCTTAGTAATTTAGTCAGTCAACACCAGGAAGTAAGTAATACTGCAGATGCATGAGTATGTTTTGCAATGAGTCTTTTTATTCATTTACTCATAGTAAGCCATCTCAAAAAAGCTTAATTATAAAAATGTTGTCTCTCTTTAAATCTAGGACTATGCAATCAAAATGACCCCTAACCAGCACCCTGAGAATACACATTGTCCTGTTTTTAGTACAGATTTTAATTACTTTAATACTACAAGCCTTTCATCATTTATGTGGATGTGTTTTATAGATAGCAAAATCTTATTCAAAATTATCTTACCCCATCATGATTGACTTAATTTACCAGGAAATTGGTGTTTATACTAAAGGAAAAGCAAAACTGCTTCTGGAAGCTGCCTAGTATGTGTCAATAGAAAGTGGCTTTTGCTTTCCTTGAGCCTTCTGTCTGGTGAGGTCTTCCTGCACATCTCCCCAACAAAGCAATGACTTGAGACACCACCAGTTTATACAGCACCATGAGAGTTAACACCCCAAATCTTTGTTCTGGAAATCTGCTCATCAAAACCTCTACCATCAACCTGACAACACTGCAGGTTCTTATCCATTACATCTCAGCCTGGGTTTATGGCACTGATGAGCACCATGTTGCAAGCTGGTGGAAGAGGACCCTGTGACACTTACCTGTTAAAGTATGATAACTTATTTAAATAAACCAGAAAGCTTTGTCTCCCTTCAGGAAATCATGGAAACAATGGAAATAATGGAGCAACTGGCCAGGAGGGAGCTAAAGGTGAGAAAGGAGACAAAGGAGATATTGGACCAAGAGGAGAGCGTGGCCATCATGGACCCAAAGGCGAGAAGGGTTACCCTGGGATTCCCCCAGAACTACAGGTACAACATCTCTGGCTCATATTGGCTGCAGCAAATCTCTGATTATGGTTTTCTTCACTGAGAAAACAGCACCTTATTACTGTAAGATACTTAAGAAGAAAACCCCCTTGAAAATTAATACTGTAACAGGCATATACAGCCCTTGTCCTTACTGAAAAAAATGCTCTGCTAGATCTTTCTTGAGAAGAAAAGCTTTAGTCAGAACCTAGCTGAAAAATAGGCAGGAAGAAACATATATGCTTTCCTTTGAGGGCAAAAAGCCAGTATCTGGGTTATTAAAGGAGAATAGCAGGGACTATCATTTTTCTACCAAGTTGTATCACATAAATAATTGCAGTTCCCACAGCATATGGAAAGAGTAAAGGAGTCATGTTTCTCAGGGTAGCCGGGCTTCATGAGATTCTCAGAAGCACATGTATCCAGCTCCTCAAAATACAGGCTCAAAATTTCTGAGTGCAGTAAGAGTCTCTAATTTAAAAAAAATACCTGTGAAATTTCAAAAAAATACCTGTGATATTTCAAAAAACCCTGTGTATTTATAAGCTTAGATATTTTAAATATGTTTGGGACCATGAAGGCTCTGCCTATGAATGAATAACTCAAAAGCCAGATGAGCATTTAAATATGGGTTCAAGCCTGAGCTGTTGAGCTCAACTCTTATATTGACACAATCTCACAGCTTTTGCATTAAAGCTTCTTCAAATCCCAGAAATCTGGCAGATGACAGAGAGTTTGTGTATGTATATATAAATATATATGTATGTATATATATATAATATATATCTATACACACATACACACAGATACATATATACATATTGATATATGTGCATATACACATAATAAATATATATAATATATACTCAGAGTATAGCTAAATATCTTATAAACATACCTTTAATTATGTTCAGTGTATGTCGTTGTACAATTTTAAAATGAACTACCACTGTTTTTTTTCTTACATAAAGACAATGGTAGGACTGTAATTAAAACTGAGTGATGAAAGAGGATAAACAACGACAGCTTATATTGTAATACCTATTTCCAGTGCTTAAAATTCCATCACTTCTTTTATCAGATGTGTTTAAAAATGTTTACAGTATTTCTTCTCACCATACTTAAGAATTTTAAAGACAGTGGTGGTATAGGAGAAAACACTTTTGAATACAATACTGTTTTAAGTACAGGATTATTTTGAAAAACTTTGTGTATCCATGTTGACCTGCTACTGCACAGTGAGACCTAAGGAGAAAAAATATATTTTTCTGTTGTTCTGTTCAGCCCACAAAAAGTAGCTTAGGGTCAAAGAGACTGTGAAATTGAATCTAGACCAAAAGCAATAAATTCCATCAATCTGCCATTGAAGCTGCTTTCCTTTAACACAAGATGAACTTTGATGTGATCCTGGCTGAGAAGCAAGATATTAACAATTTGCCATAACAGAAAATGCATCCATGCAGGGGTAAGGAAAATCAGCCCAAGCTTTCAGCTCACATCTGGAGCTCCTTAAATTTCTGAACAGATGGTTAATGATTTCCATTATTGGATCCAGACTTGCATTTGATTGTCTGTTTTGGTTTTGTTCTGGTTTGGATCTGAAATCAAAAGGAGTTTGGGCTGTTTTTTTTTTTTATTTTGTAGATACCAGCATAGCTGGAATCGGACAAAAAAATGTCATTTTTGTGATGGGCAGTAACAGATGCAACTGAACACTTGTCATTGAAGAAGCTGAGATAGAAATAAAAAGCCAAGTCTCTGTGTAACCTTTTGGCAACAAAGTGTAGCAATTCTAATGCTCACTCATTTACTCACATAATGTGGGGCGGGGGTGGTGGGGAGGATAGCCTTACAGAAAAGGTCACTCCCTTCCCTAAGCAGGCCAGCTGGCAGGGTCATTCCCTGGTATATTGCTGAGGGCAATTCAAATTGTCTGGTGTGGGTTTTTTTGCGCTGCTTCCTATAAAACATTTCTAGCGCAAGAAGTGAAACATGAAGTTGAAGGACAGTTTTAATTTTCTTATTTTCCACTCTTGGTCTCCACCACCCTCTGTTTTCAAGACTCAGGGTAACAAATAGAAAAAGCATTGTATATTGAGTCCCAGCTGCTGCACTTCCAGAGAACATCTAATAGAAGTGCTTCATCTATCTCTAAGAAGAAACACTAATCTGCATGCATTTTACTGGGCCTTGTTTGTTTTCACACATGCAGTTAAAAGCAATATTCAGTTTAAACGCATTGGGGAATACATAAAACAATATAAAACCCTTTTGTCAGAAACATCATCCATTTCAATACTATATTGCTGTTGCATCATTCTAGCAAGACATAAAAGTAAATAAAATCTGAAATTAAGGTTCTGAGCTGCAAACACTTGACCATATGCTCACTTTACAGTCATGAATAGTCTAATTGAATATGAGAACCCTAGTCTTCTTCCAGTTTCATTCAATGGGAGTTTTGTTAACTGGAGTTTATTGGCCTTGGAGCAAGCCCTAGAAGAACATCTCTGTCAGGAAAATAAACAGACTGCAAATACAGAAAAAAAATCTGTACCTTATTGCTCTACACATGTGTTTTTCATCAATGACTGTCTGAACGAGAACTGGATTTTTTGCAGGTCGCATTTATGGCTTCAATGGCTACTCACTTCAGCAACCAGAACAGTGGGATCATCTTCAGTAGCGTTGAAACCAATGTTGGGAATTTTTTTGATGTCATGACCGGGAGATTTGGTGCTCCAGTGAATGGTGAGCATTTGCAAAAAAAAAAAAATGTAATTACTGGAGCTGCAGGGAGATGTGTGGTCAAAAAGGATGAGGCACTATTTAACTGCCTTTGCACTTGCATAGTGCAAGTGCACTTGCATAGCTGTTGCTACCTACTTTCCAGAAAATTTAATTGAAAACTGAGCAAGCCAAGAGAAGTCTTGCCAGCCAGTGAGACTAGGGCTGACACAAAGGCAGGAGGAAGAGGCATGGCCAGGGCTAGGGAGGGAGCAGGACTGTCTGCTTTGCTGTGGCTCTTTAGCCCTTCAGCCACTGTGATGACAGAACCACAGTCTTGAAGTTGTAGCAAGCAGCAGCAGCTTCACAGTTGCCTCCTCCACCTCCTGCCTCCTGTCAATCTCTTCATCCTCATCCTCCCCCATGCCAATTCAGCTGCAAGCTGACTTGCAACAGATGTATGGCTGGAAATGAGGCATTACAATACTTCATGGGTTACTTCTCAGCTGCATCAATCCCCCTCTTATGCAGCTGTGATGCAGCAAAAACACCACCTGCCATATGCAGAATTAATCAGATTTTGGAATACTATAAGCAGAAGCAAAGTATCTGCTGACAACTGGAAGGCAGTTTTGTCCACAGCTGTTATGTTTTCTAAGCAAGAAGCACAAATCTGCAGCATGATTACTTCTTTCTATGAAGCAAACAAGTTGTATTTTATAACCTTTTCAGGGGTGTATTTCTTTACTTTCAATATGATGAAACATGAAGATGTGGAGGAAGTGTATGTGTACTTGATGCATAACGGTAATACAGTCTTCAGCTTATATAGGTAAGTAAAACGCCAGGCCATCTTAATGCAAAAGACATTTATATGGATGTGATAGCTTGCTCACCTTTCAAGAAATATAAAATTGTTCATTTACTGGACGAAATTCTCTAAAGTAAAATAACCAACAAGAAAACCTGTTTTATTTTGCCGTCCTCAGCTTGCATATTTGGACCATACACACCACAGATGCTGGACCTAAAATTCCACCTTGATCACCATTTTCTCAAACTCAGGGGAAAGAAGTTAGCACTATAAGTCAGGGTTGGAGTTTAGTGGTATCATGCTGTCATTCTGCTAAAATATAAAATATATCTTCATCCTCATTTTGCTTGTCAGTGAAAGGAAATAATGAAATGTTCAGTTAGTAGTTACAGTCTTGTTAACATGAGGACAGTAAAGTTGGGAAGTGTTTATGCTGCAGTAGTAAGGATGGGTAAGAAGCAAAGGTCTTCCACTTACCAACCTTTTTATCATTAGCACACCACCACAGGCTGCTTCATCCCCAGTAGATCTTTTCTGCAAAAGAAAAAGTGCTTAATTTCTATTCCCTCTGAAGCACTGATGTCAGAAACGGCAAGAGGTAGAAGAAAGGGGACCAACACTCAGGCAAAGCCAGGAGGTTAGCCCACATCAAATGTACATACCCATATTCCAATGAAAGGCTCAATATGGAGAGAGCTGACTGTCTGCTCACTGCCTGTGCTGGGAGCACAGGGGATCAGCTCTTAAAATTAGTTGGAATGAATTCAAGGGGACAGGAAATCTGTAGTGTCGTGATCAATGAGCAGCATTTCATTTTAAACAAAAAATTTGTTCCTGTGTCCTGGAAAATTATAAGTTACAATTCCAGAACTTCAGGAAGGAATGAAATAATGAATTTAGGTAAGGTGCAAAATTTGACTAGGAGATCAAACGTAGAAAGTTGCCAAAATTTCCTTATAAAGCTGAATAAATGTTGGCAAGTCTTTAAGAAAGTTTTCCTCAGGATAACAACATACTTCTTGGATTTTTTTTGTAAAGTTGTTTGTTTGGTGATTGTTGAGAAACAAAAAGCTGACTTGTTAAAAAATTCATCCTTAGCTATGAATCTAAAGGGAAAGCAGATACTTCAGGAAACAGTGCAGTCCTAAAACTTGCCAAAGGAGATGAAGTTTGGCTGCGAATGGGAAATGGAGCCCTCCATGGAGACCATCAACGCTTCTCCACCTTTGCTGGGTTTCTTCTTTTTGAAACCAAGTAAAAAGAAAAGAAAAAGAAACAACCCAATAAATGTTTATGTGAAAACCCATCTTTTTTGGAACTGGTATATTTCACTGGACTGTGAAATAACTTTACAGCATTGGAGGATCAAGAAGCCTTGTTTTGATGCAAATGTGCTGCTGCCTGTGTATCAGAGGTGAGCTGAATACATTGGGTAGCTGACACAGATTCACAGAGTATATATTGTCATCTATTAATCATTAAATGTTGCTATTGCTCTCTTCCCCAAAAGTGAATGAAAAACAAAGGAAAATGAGTTTAAAGAATTTAAATAGCAGTTTACATAAAGTAAATTTCCTCTCTAAATATACTTTAGTTAAATATATGTCAGGAATTAAACAACTGATTCAAAAATTTTGGATAATTTATTCAATTCTTCTCACATGTTCATTTAAATTTGCATCATGGAAACAGGCCTGAATGTATTATAAGCAGGCTCAGGTGAGACCAGATCTAAGGGAAGAAGTTTTTACTGGATTGGAATCAGCTCAAATCAAAGAAAAAAATGTGAAAATATAGATGTCAAGGATTCAGGTTTATTGCATTCCCATCTCAAACCTCTGAAGATGTATCTGGTGTCATTTTTCACAGATTTTTAGCACATATTTATGCTTAGTCTCTCTCTCTCTCTCTCTTAGAAGAAGAATGTCAGTAGTTCTTGCCTTAGTAGCAGCTTGAAGCTAAGGTAATTTACTTTGCAGTGGGAAGGGGATCAGGCAAGGGAACTGTAATGTTTCCCCTAGCCTTAAAATTTTTAAAACCTGATGTAAGCCAATGCAGGGTGTCAAAGCAAAGGTATATATGCTAGAGAAATCAGGATATGCCAACAGCACAGAGATAAACTTAGTGGTGTTTGTAGTCCTCCAGAAGGATGTACCTTATAATATTGCATGTTTCCTTAACAGAGAAGTTGTTGAAACAGTTTTCCTAGCAGCCTTACAAGTATCAGTATTTCAGGAAAAGCAATTGCAAAGCAGCAGCTAAGCCAGTTCAGTATTTAAACTGGTAAAAGTAGTAAAAGTAGTAAAGCTAGCTGGTTTAGCTTATACTGGGCCACTCTTCAGCACTCATGTCTGGCTTTTTAAAATTTGGGACCTGAAATTCTGTCTTGATATTTTCATTTCAATAAACACCAAAATCAATACTGAAGTTTGAATGTATATTGTTCTGGCTCTCCACACAAAAGGTAATGAAATATAAATACCTTTTTACAGACATTACATTTTAATCAGATATTACCTGCCATTAATGTATAACAAGAAGGTGGGGTTAGGAAAATATTTATTTGAAATTCTTTTATACTGGATACAGGTGTCAGTAGTACAACAATAGAGCAAATGAATTGAAATCTATCTATGAATCTGTGCATCCTTATACACATTCCTAGCGTATCTAACCACATCTTATGAAGAAAATGCATGTTGATACTTGATGATTATGACTTGTGATTTTTTAGTTTTATGCATCAACCACTGAAAATACTAGCTTTAATGAACTGTTGTCTTATGTGTTTTAATAATTTCTTTATCAGCTTGGGTCAGGTCTGTGCCACATAGGTTTTCAAACCCTGAGACCATGTTATTTTGTTAAGCTTACTTTGTAAAACATACAGTTATCCAATAAAGATTAATGGTTATAAAGCTATACTGGTTTGCTGATGTCTGTATTTACCAAGGACATTAACATTTGGAGACAATAGAGAGGTGTTCATTTTAATATGCTTTTTCTAAGCATTCATTTTGCTACTGAATGGGAGAAAGCCAGCATTAAGGATTAAAATATATTTATATTACACATGTGTGTAAATATATAAACACATATATACATATAACACTTAAATCTCTAAAGTCTCCTTTGGGGACTTACTCTTCCTTTGTGACATGGTCATTTAAAGCCATTTTGGTCAGAAGGAAGCACTTAGAAACTGTATGACATACACTAATTTTAAGCTCCTTTTTGTCTCATTATCTAATGTAATAGCCATAATATAAAAGAAAGTAATGTTTTGTCTAAGCCATTTTTTATTGTTTTCATGAGTTTTGTGCAACTTGACCTGCTAAGAGGGGAAGGTGAATTACCACAAAAGCTTCTTTGACAAACAAAGAGCAGTTCCAATTTTAAAGCTCAACAGTTTTTTACATCAAGGTTAAAATTCCTAGGTTTTGACTGAAATCTCAGCAGCCTTTTTTACTACATGCAATCCCTGCTGATTAAGTGTCATAATACTTTACAAATAAATAGTTAACTTACATATTAATTTCCTTCAAAAGAAGATCCTTCAAAATGCAGCAAGTGATGTATATATGAGTGTATATATATATGCATATATGAGTGTGTGCGTGTGTGTGTTCTTCTCCTTCTCTAAAATTAACAAGCTTTATATTCTGTAAGTCATGTGGAATATATGATCTTTTTTCTCAGAAATGTTCATTAAGATTAGTCATCTTTCCATTGCTGCTGATAATTGAAAGATTCTTGCTTAGCAGATACTCAAGACAAAATGTCTTTTACCAGACTTTTATCCCCTGTTATAAAATACATGGTATCTTGTAATTTGTGTTACAACTGAAAAACCTTCTGGAAACGGCAAAGCTGTAATTTGGCATATACTTAATGGCTTCTTGTCTTTGCTAAAATGAATCTGTTTCTCTCCTCCATCCCTGAGCTCCCGGATTTAACCAAAACTTGGCAAGACCCACAAGTCTCTGCCTGCCATGAGAGCTGTGGTTTGGTAGGTGATATTCAACCTCTGTGGTAGGTGCTGGCATCCTGGCATCAGAAAATGCTTCTCAACAGAGGGCCAAATTGAGCTCTGCTCTGTGTGAAACACCCCCAAAACCTGGTCTTCCCTTTCCCCAGAGTTCCAGAGACTGCTGTCCTTGCCTGTGATGTCCCTGCAAGGCAGCAACTCTCATCTCCAGCTCTGTCATGAGCATTAATTGCTGTATTTTGCAAAACAGGGTTGTGTTCCACTCAAGAGGTGCTGGGTGCACCCCTTTGGCAGGGGTAAAACAACTTCTGTGCAAAACAATATGAATTAGAATGAAACCAAATGAGGAAAAATGTTACAGCTCTGAGTCTGAGTTTCACAAGTGGTATTTAAAGAAAGGAGAAAGAAGTTTAATTAGAAGTCTGTGAGAAAAGAAAGAAGTTTATGGTTTTACTTTCAGAAGTTATCTGTGGACTGATGGAAAAAGCAGTTTAGATTGACAATAGTTTGCAGTCTCAGCCTCACTGAAAAGCCTGCAAGCTAAAGGGAAATTTTTGAATAAAGTAGTATTTTTTTCTAAAGACAGAATAAGGAACAAATTTTACACTCAGATCTTTCATCTTCCCCCCTCTTTCATTGAGCGTCCTATGTTACAGCCTGCTGTTTTCTGAAGCAGTTTTTAATAAAAGTGCCTTTGAATTAAAACTTTTTTTATCCTTCTTAGTTCAGATTATTAAAATTATTCTTTTGTGCTCAGAACAACAAAAAAAAAATCACACAAGGACAAAACATGCAGAGTTGTTGATTGGTGTGTGAAAAGACCCACAACTCTTAATTGTGGTGAATCAGTAGCAAAGTTCCACTATTTCACAGTTAGTTCTGCTTCAACAACCGAAGAAAATACAACCTGGGTGATTAGCATTTAAAAATCTGAGGCAACAAAAGGCTGTCATGCTCAGATACTAGTGAAGAAAACTCTAGAAACTATCCTCATACATTAAAAGAACTTGATGGAAGGTGCACTTCCTAGTCTGACCAGGTTCACTCTTACACCAAAGGGCAATCACTCCTTTAGTTTTTGGGCCAAACCACACAGTTTTAGAAGGAATTAGAGCATCTGCAGCCCCCCATTAATCTCCAGTCATCTGCCACTGGATTGATAAACTCACTGCACAGATGTTGACATAAAGACTTAAGGATGACAGTGTATGATGTACAGTACAGGATGACTCCTTGTATCAACTTGTGAAAAACTGCACAAAAATTGCACAAAGAAAGGGCTATTTTCCTGCTTTTCTGGAAATACTCCATCAGACATTTGAAAAAAAAGACCCACAAAAATCAGTTTTTTAAAAGAATCCCATTGCTAAAACACCAAGCGTAGAAACACCCATGTTCAAATTATCTTCGACATCTTATCTTCACTTTCTTGTGGATGTGTTTCACAGTGTGATCCTCCCATAATCTAGTCACATGCTACTTCTTCAGCCTTGTCCAGCAGCATGTATAAGTTGACTGCTGAATAAGGACTTGCCCATATACTGGAATGTGATAGGAAGAAATTAATATATAGAACGTCTTCATTCAGTATGTCCATCCAAGTGTACATTTAACAAAGTGATTTTACTGTAGAAAATAGTGCACACTAATATGTAAGAATGATTAGCATAATTAAATTAGCTCCAGCTACCTTCATTTTAGAATAGTGTTGAAGAGGTGAAGAGGTTGGGTGTTTTTTGGGTTTTTTTTTGGTTTTTTTTTTTTTTCAATCCTGGAATTTTTTTGACAGAAAAACACTCCAGGCTCTTACAGTATAGTAAAGATGATGAAAGTCAAGGAATTCTGCAAACACTAGACTTTCAGGCCAGGAAACTGGAATTCAGAGATTGTGCCATTCTGCCATGTGCCAATCCTGGTCTGCAGCTGGAAGTGCTGGATGGAACATAATTTGTCTCATGTTCATTTTTTTTTTTAACTAGAAAATAGTAGAAGCGTGGTTGTTTTAAGGAAACTTTTTCAGATACTGCATCACTTCAGATCGACATTTTCTTTCCTCCAAGACTACCTGCTTCTCAGAATGTTGGTTCTGTCAAGTCATTGAAGACTCACAAAATAAATAACATGTATTAGGTATGCCACAAGACACACAGTAAATGGCTTATGGGCAAGATGATGGAAACAGTTAATAAAAATAAAGGTTTCTCAATCCACCACCCTAGCCATGCAGGAGAATTTGTCTCTGGTGAATGTGGCAGATAGTGTTATCTGGCAGGAAAGGCTCACTGGAGATAAGTTTAGGGTAGCGTCGCTAAACAGTAGTTCATGTGGCATCCAGCATAGACCTCAAGCTCAGTATTCGGGCAAATAAAATGTGGAAATAATCCCAGCCTAGAGTTTCCAGCCTCTATAATAGTGGTTAATAATAAACTCACAGGAAAGTATTTATTTTCTCCCGATTACCAAAAATAAGGATTAGCTATATAAAGTTTCTTGGCCATTCTCTTCATCTAAATCATGACAGCACAGTAATGCAGTGTCTCAAAGCAATATGCAGTGTCTCAAAGGAAAGAAAAAGATTTTGCTTCAGGTACAAGGGTTGAGGTCCAAAGTAAAGAAACCACCGTCACAGGCATCAGTAATTTGTAATCCCAGTAACCCAAAATTCCTACTAGTATCAGGGGGCAAATTTCTGAAAACGTGAAAGTTAAAGGCAATGCCTGTTCAGTACAGCTGGGACAGATCACCACCTCAGTTACTGACTGGACTAAAAAAAACTTGCAAACTCTGGTTTTTCAAGAATATGTCTATTTTAGTGAACAGGGCAGCTTATATGATTACCTTCTGTGGATGAGACAGAACTTTTATTTCTAAATTTATATACATGATCTTAGACAGACAGCCAGATTTTCAAGCAGCATGAATTCACAGCTGCTTTAGAAGGATATGATGATCTCAGAATAGAGTTTTTTGCTGCTGGGTGGTGGGATGTACACTTGGGAGAGCAGCAGTGCACAAATCCACACTCACACAGAAACACAGAAAAGTAAAGTGATGCTCCAAACTGATGAATCTTTTGAAATGGAAGAGATTAAGGTTCTGCATTTGGCAAGAACATTGTATCTCTCACAACAGCACAAGATATCAGGTTAGAAATGCGGAGTATCACCCACACCATCTCTGTGGATATCAAGAAGTGTTGTGAATGGAGCACAGCTTCTATTCAGGCAAGGCAGGAATGCAGGTTTTGGGATAAAGCAACCGTGTTTGAAAGCTTTGACAAGCTTGGGACACAGAACTACCATCAAATTCCATGAGAATCTTTAAAGTTCTCAATTTCAGTTTAATGCAGGTATCTTTCAATTTATTAGAGAAATTTCACCTGCTACTTACATTTTCAGCAATTATAGTTACCAAGATTTGAAATATTGTAACAAATGTAATGTTTGTATTTTCATTTAACAAAATCAATACAAACTGTAGAGATACCAGTATCTCTTTAGCCACGCATTAAGGTGGACTAGACTGTTAACAATTACATGTGAAAGAGGAGAATCCTGACTTTGTGTACAGCTGTAACTTCACATTTCTGCCTTAGTATTTTTCCAAAGGACTGAAATGTATGGATAATTGTAACCAACAAATCAGTGTGTATTGCAAAAGTGCCTGCAACTATGCAAGACATATTGATATAACTCACAGTAAAGATAATTTCAGTCTTTTAACACTGACGGTGAAATATGCATTTCACAGGATGACACAGATAGCAACTCACTGATGTAATACAATAAAGCACGCACAAGCACTCTGACACAGTGTGAATTCAATCCCAAAACAACTCCTTTCCTATACCCATTACTTCTGCAATGATGAATTCATAAGCCCTTCTGTTTCCTGCTGCTTATTGATGAGAAATATTAAACGGCATCACATAGATGAACATCACACTGTTTTTACTGCAAGCCAGTGGTAGAGAAGGTCTCCTTGTTTATAACATATATTTTCTGCTGGCTAACTTACTGCTTCAGGAGAGTTTGCTGGACTCAAATCATTAGCCTTCATCTCACGATTAATTAGAGTATCTGTTTCTCTCTCATGCCTGTTTATTTTTTGGTTTGGTAAAATCCAATTTTTCAAATTGGAATTAATGCTCATAAAATGCCACCTTCACCTCCCCGAAACTGAAATAACTTAATAGGGTTCTGACTTAAATGTCTCTGCCACAGATTACCCACTGTAATTCTGGACGAGAACTAAACAGCAGGTGCAAAGGATTGCTCAGATAAACCATAGCAAAATTCAGCCTATATCCACTGTGTGATTATAGTGTTATTTAGATGGGGTAAACTAAAGAGCATCAGGTGAAATCAAAGGTGACACAACAGAAATTGCCCGATTGTATTCAACACAAACTCCAAGACCTGAAGGTGTGAGGGGACAAATGAAACTGAAAATTAGTCAGAGAAACACAATGTCACAGTAACATCATAATGCCCATGAAAACAAACTCTTATATAGAATAGTGTCCTTAAGGGAGATGGATAACAAACTAAACTAGCCAGCTTTATTTGAATGAAAATGCAAACACTTTTCTCCTGGCCATTTCTTGTGGGTGGCACCATAGTAGTGAACATAATCAGTGCCTGCATTACAGGACCTGGTGTCTGCACAGAAAATGAAGGGTATTCTGGTGACAGACCTATTACTGTAGAAAGAGAAAAATTCTGCATTCATATTATCAGCCTTTACATGTTTTCATAGTCTAACCAATCTAAAGAAATGTATAAAATGAGCATGGGATTGATATTGAGGACTTCTTTGCTCTGTCTGCTTCCCAGTAATGTGAAATACTGGGAACAGGGCGTAAGTTTGAAAAGCTGTGTCAATACAATGCCAAAGATTTCATTACCCCTTCTGGATTTATGTCTGTTCCTGTAAGCAGTTGATGCCGCAAGAACAACAGGACCAGGCAGCCCTCTTTGAAGAAACATCTGCTGAAAAGAAATTCCAAGTTTTAATCACGTGTCCTTCTAATATCCATCATGTGACCTAGGGGTCTTGGGTGTGTAGGTTTTGGCCCATCCAGGTACCCCGGGCATGGCTGGAGCCCCAGGCCAAGAACTACTGACCCTTTTCCTAACAATGGGCACAGGAACCTGTGGCCCAGCACGAGATCGGCTGGAGACGATGACACACAGCCTCAGACTTCAAAGGCTGGACTTGATGATGTTGGAGGTCTATTCCATCCTGAATTGCTCTATAATTCTGACTTGGGTGTAAAAGCCTATGGTTTCCTTTGTTCGGGGTCCCTACACGGAAGCAGCAGTTCATTCTTTGTTGTTTGGTAATTGCATCACGATTAAATTATTTTAAGGATTTGGTCGTCGGAGCCTCCGCTACGGGAGAGCGAGTGTGAGGGGCTGTGCAGCTGGCAAGGGGCCTCGGTTCCAGCTCGGTGGTGCGGGTCTGGATGGTCGGACAGGGAAGCTTCCCCAAGAGCAGCTGTGTGCCGATCCCGGCTGCAAGAGAACGCCCACTCCTCCTCACCGCGAGCCGGTGCCGAGGGTAGCGGAGCCGCCCGCGGGCGATCAGGGCTCGAGGTGAAGAAACACCCGGGGAGGCCGGGCCGGTGCCCCCAGGCGAAGGGCGGCAGGAGCCCGGCCCGGCCCCCGGGGCCGCCTCCGCGATCGATGTATGGGCGCTCGACAGCGGCACAGGCAGCAGCGATGGCGCTGAGCGGGGTGCGGGTGCTGGAGCTCGCAGGGCTGGCGCCCGCGCCGCTCTGCGGGATGATCCTCGCCGACTTCGGGGCGCAGGTGGTGCGAGTCGACCGCCCGTCCCGGTCCGCCGCGGCCCTGGCGCACGGAGACGTGCAGGCCCGCGGGAAGCGCTCCCTGGCGCTGGACCTGAAGCAGCCGCAGGGCGCCGCGGTGCTGAGGCGGCTGTGCGGCGCGGCGGACGTGCTCATCGAGCCCTTCCGCCACGGTGAGGGGCCGCGGCCGCCGGGGAACCGTGCGGGGCGGCGCTGCGGCCGCGGCAGCCCGGGCCGGGCCGCGGGGGCGAGCGGGAGGTTGGAGGTGCAGGGCCGCGGGCTGCCGTGCTGAGAGGCTCCCGCCTGTCTGTCGCCTCTGCCATACTGAGTGGGAAGCGGGCAGGGAACAGCTCTGGAGGCGCTGGGGGCGCACGCTTTGTGGCGGACTTGTGCACTGCAGCCGCCTTGTGAAACCCCGGGGAAAGACCGCCGGGAGCGCTCGCACGGGGCCGTGCCCTCGGCCGGGCTCGGGAGGAGCAGCAGGATGCCCGAGCCGAGGGGTCACACCGAGCTTGGAGCCCTGGACGAGCAGGAGGGTGTCCGAGCCCAGGGGTCACACCGAGCTTGGGGCACCGTCCTGTGTGATGTCCAGGCCTGCTGCTAAAGTTCACGGTTGCTGTGCCAGTCAGAGTTTGAGCTTGCAATTCCTCTGAAGACAGCAGATCTGACGCTATGGTTACAGATTTACAAAGCACATATTCCAAGGAGAGGAATATAAGAGTTACGTGTGCTAAATAGAGTAGTATGATTACGTTGTACAGGGTTACTCTGATTCAGGAGCAAATCCAGGTTATGAACTACAGTCTTCATTTTCAAACATCATGGCTAATTTTAGGAAGTTGCTTTCTACAAACTAATCACTTCCTGCCAGTCTTAAGTTACTTTATGAAAGCCTTCCTTGTGTTTTTGAAAGTATTTTCCTTTTTTAACATAAGGTTAAAAGTAAGACAAATTCTTTAAATACTCAATTACAAAATTTTTCAGTTTTTCAAAACCAGTTTTGAAAGATAACTTTTGGTACATTTTTAATTACTGTATGCATATTTACTAATTTATAGGCGTGCTTAACATCTGATTTTCAGTAGCAAAATTGATGCAGTGTTAAGATCAGTGGACTTTTCAGATAGACCACATTCCCTCTGTTTATAAGCCATACACAGGCACTCATCTGATGGTTATGTCAGTATCTGTGGGTGCTCCTTGAAGGTGCCGTTCTGTTAGAAAAGGTCAGGTTGGGCAGGGCTCTGTGTACATGAATCTAGTTGAAGACGCCTCTGCTCCCAGCAGGGGGTTGGAGTAAGTTACCTTTACAGGTTCCTTCCAACCCAAACCACTCTGTAGCAATGCTTCGCTGAGGAGCTAGCTGAAATGTTTTGGACATTTTACAAACAGCTTAGAAATAGGAGACTTTTTCAGTTAGACATCGTACATCATGGACGGATAGTGTGTCACAAGTAATTATTTTCCTTTGGAAAATAGATTTATTCTTACCTTAAAATAGTTTGTTTTACTCCCCAGAAGCTGAGCAAAAAAACAAAACCAAGAAGTTAAATTCCACTTTTTACTTGTAGCTGATCGTCTGGTTATTCTTTATGAAATTTTGTCTTCTTTGGTTTCATGGGCGCTTGCTGGGTTTTTTCTCAATTGGAAGTACAGGCAAATTTGTAACTAGATACGAGGTTGCAAGGCCTGTAAGTGGACTAGGCAGTTCTATGAACCATCGTGAGACTGCTGGAAAACAGTGAGAAGGTGAGGGCCCAAGCTGCAGAACAGTTTCTTGCAAGGCATGTGTGACCTTACAACAATGACCTTATGACACCAGAGAGGTTATTTGTCACCCTGTTTCCACTTGTGCATTTGAAAATCATGCATTTTGCCAAATTTCACTGCTTTCTTGGGAGTAATCACTTGCTGCTGCCCAGTAATTAGTACAGTAGAAATGGATCTGAATGAAATTGGTGGTATAGTAAAAATATGGACTAGTTTTGTGAGACAAGCTGGAGTAATAGATTCTGGGGTGGAACAGGCATTGAAATTATGTTAGCCCTTCAATTCTAAAATATGTGGCCCAGCAGTGCTGGTATAGATCATTGGTAAAAGTCTGACCAAACTGCACTGAACTCATAAGAAAGTATAATTTATTGCAATTCAAATTTATTCTCTTTAAACCACTGTTTTAGGACTGCAAGATTAACATTTTAGCCTTGATTTCTGTAAATCCATGCTGATTCAACTTACATACCATTGCTTCTAAAAGTTCCTTACTCCCTGCATTAAAAAAGAACATGTTTACTTGTGCGTAGTACTTGCAGATCATCTGTGGAATAGTGGCATGGTCCAGTCACATGTGAGTTAAAATACAAAGGAACATGAGGTACTGAGAAATTGTGAGGAAGGTATATGCCAGTAAAATACAGATGAAATTTCAAGTGATTTTAATATGGAAAATGTAAGAGTTTTCTCTTTCTCTTTTTTTCCTTGTTTTACCAGCCTTTGGTAGCTTTCTGTCTTGTGATGCATGGTTTTCTGTCAGTCTTTTGGAGAAGTAAAACAGGAATAAAAGCTGAAAAAATATCCCTAAAGCCTAATTTCCACTTAGTTTATATTAAAAATTTATGCTGTATGTTGGTAATTGATAATGTTTGTGTTGTGACATGGACACTGAAGTAGAATGTGCTACTTCATGAAGTGCAGTTGAGTTCTGCTGTTGTATACTCTAACTTTGAGTCATTATGTTTTGAGTATTACTAAATGTGGATTTGAATTCCTTGCTTGTGTCTTTTTAAGGTGTCATGGAGAGACTTGGGCTTGGCCCAGAGGTCCTTCTACAGGAGAATCCCAGACTCATCTATGCTAGACTTACTGGTTTTGGCCAGACAGGAAAATATGCCAAGTCTGCGGGTCATGACATCAATTACTTAGCTTTATCAGGTAGGCTGTAAAATTTCCTGTTAAATAAAATTTCTTTCTCCCCTTTGATCAAGACTCAAGAACTTGTTGAAAGCAGATAGCTCAGAATTTATCTGAGGTGCAGTCTGACAAAACAGCTGATCTGAAGTGTCTCTGTCAATGAAATGGGGCTTGCCTTTCACTGTGCTTTTCTCTGATGCTTTCAGTCAGCTCTGGCACTTGCTTAGCTCCTCTGTAAACTTCCTCACAAGTCAAAATCTGGTCAGAAGAAATAAGGATGTTTTCTGCCAGGTTATTAAGATGAAGCAGTTCATTGAGGGGTCCAGCCAACCAGTCAGCACACAAAAATAGGAAACGTATTAGACAGGCTGTTTGTTTTGCCAGCAAACAACGATCTGTTTCCGGCTGGATCAGCATGTCTTCCCAGGCTGTACATTATTTTCCTACTTTGTGCTATTCTATCTGAATGAAGTATCAAATTTTTATTTGAAGAGAGGACTGAATATTTTCTTCAGGGCCCCTCTCCAGAAGCTCTGTATACTTAATAATCCTGAAAGGGCTGCAGATTATTTTATATGCTTGTGAGCAGATTTTTTGAGCGAAGAAAAACTAGGCAGCATAAGACAATTTGAGATCTTGTGCTTTTCTGCTTGTAAATGTGTCTCCACTGATACCGGTTGAAATGAAGTAGGCTTCAAATAAAGTGGAAATGCTACATTTCATTGAGGTGTTGTGGACCTTGTGGTGGTGTATGCTGGTTTTAAGTGGTATGATTTTACAAGTATGCAGTAGCAAACAGAAAAAAAAAATATGCACCTCAGGTGCAGCCCTTCCATGCATGGCCCTAACTCCTGCTCTTCACACGGCTTCTGTCACTGATGTGTCTCTGAGCCTGTGAAGGAGGAGAGAAGGTGGCACAAAAGTTCTTGGCTTCCCACTGGATAAAGTAGTTCTTGTAGCCCCAGGAAAGGGATGGGGCAGAGGCAATGCAGACCTGGTGATCTGGTATCTCCTACTATGAGGAGTCATAATGTTGTGGAATAAATTCTTTAGAGATGCATTCAGTCTTCCCTCATGTAAAATTTTAGAGAATAGAAAAGATTAAAGAAAAGATGCCTCATTTGAAAGACTTTGACTTCATGTTAAGATGATTTCAAAGTATTAAGGTATTTTTATCTGTTAGTAGTGGAGGGAAAGAGTCAGTATGGGAACAGTATGGTCCATCCCTACCTTAGTTTGTAGAACTTTCTGGTTTACAAATAGAGTGATTTTTATCTCTGGAGCTGATTTAATCAGTTGTGTTTTGGTTTGTGATATCTTCCTAAAATAATTTTGCTTGAAATTTCACAGA